TCTGCCAGAAGCCCAATATGAATCCAACCCCTTGTAACTGATAGATTTTATGTTGTACCTGACTCAGGACTGAAATTTTGGAATGGGAACAATGAGACCTGTGTTTGTATTTTCATACGTATCTATATGTGTGTTGTAGGTGTATGGTATTGCCAAAAATTAATTCATAAAAGAGCTCTACTTAATTGGCTTTAAAAAAAAAAATCAAACACTTACATACTCAAAAGTAAAAAATAATCTGGCCAGAATGAATTTCGGGTTCATGTCATCTGAAAAATATTCAGTACTAAACTGATATCTGGAATTGAAGGTGGCTTAAACTTGTTGGTTTAATATAGACATGTCTTTAGAGTCATCAATGTTGAGTATAATACTTCTGTTGTACCTAGGTTTCCTAACGGTCAAATAAAACCTTATTCCATCTGTTATAAATCTGTCAACAAGAAAAGTAACTCAATGTAAAAAAAAAAAACTTTTAAGGAAGGTAAGATGTATGTTTTCAGTAAAAGAAGGTGGGACGAATGAGAATAAAAAAATACTGAAAACAGTAATACATGATCAGGATTTTCTAAGATTGGACTGAATTTAGTTGGGTAAATGGATTTTATTAGGAATGGGCTAGAACAAGACTGGATTTGGTTTCTTCCCCCAAAGTATTCTTAAAATGCTGCTTTTGACAACAGACTGTGTGAGTTTCTTTGCATTTAAGTGATCTGTATTTGCTTTTGAGATCTTTTGTAACTTTGGTTAAGGAATAAGTATTGTCTCACAGTGACCTATGATCTTATTTGACCAACTGTTTTAAAACTTTTTGACAAACTTCCCAAATATCAAATTTTAATTGTTTCTTTCGATTTCCAGTTAACTTTATGATACTTTAGAGGTCCCCTGAGGTATCTTAAAAAAATATATTTAACTAAGATTACTTGGTATGTTAAACGTAATCATTCATAATTCTGGTTATTGTAACCAAGTTTCTTTATTGATTCCAAGGATTTGGACTGGATACAAAAGAAAAAGGGGGGGTATTAGATAACGAGAAGGAAGGAAAGATATGGATTACAGGGGGCCACTGGGACTCAACGCTGTTTTTGGACCACAGACAGGAAGGTCGACTTGGGCAAACAGACAGTCACCCACTCCTTCCTGGTCATGCCTGACTGCCCCTATGAAGGCAAGACAAAGATCACCGAATTTTTATTCCTGAGAACCTAGGCCTGATGTTGATACGACGCTTGCATGAGGGAACGCATCTGGGATCTACAAAATTACATGAACTGTTAAAAACTCGTTTTCGAATTCCATAACCAGTTTCCCGAAGTAACCTTATTACAATATGTGGATGATTTACTTGTGGCTGGAAAAACTGTGCGGGATTGTCTAACAGGAAGAAAAGGCCTAATAAGGTTACTACAGGACTTGGGCTATAAACTCTCAATTGAAGGGGCTCGGATTTGTCAAGAACAAGTGGACTATTTGGGGTATATCCTAGAAGGAGGACAGAGCACTCAGGCCATCCTGGCCTTGCCAGCCCCTGCCACAAGGGGGGGAATTGAGAGAATTCTTGGGAATGGCGGGCTATTGCCGGCTCTGGATACCCAGATTTGCAGAGCTGGCCAAGCCTCTATACGATGCCCTGAAGGGCGTTAACCAGAATGGCCCCGAAGCCACCAAGATTAACTGGACTGAGACACAAGGGAAGGCCTTCCAGGACATTAAAAGGGCTCTTACCTCACCTTCTGCTCTGGCACTCCCCAACCCTGATATGAATGAACCGGGGTGGCAAGGGGAGTACTAACTCAGAAACTTGGGCCCTGGCGAAGGCCGATAGCCTATCTCTCTAAACAACTGGACCCAGTAGCCTCCGGGTGGCCCTCATGCGTCAGACAAATTGCAGCCACTGCCCTGCTGAACCTCGGCACTGGAAACCTTTTGTACAAAAACTGAAAATAAAATTTCCGGAACCCACATTGCCACCTGGAGACTTAGTCTGGGTAAAGAAGCATAACCCCCAGACATTGGAGACTAGGTGGACTGGACCTCATCTGATTGTGTTGAGTACCCCGACTGCTGTTAAAGTCGACGGTGTCCGGACTTGGATTCATCATAGCAGAATAAAGAGAGACTACACCACAGAGGACGTGGACACTAACAGACGGATTGACTGGGCAAACTTTAGCCCAAAACGAAACATACCTCCTGAATACGGAAGACCAGGAATCAAGGATTTGATTAGTTCCTAGAAAAAGGGGGGAATGTGACGAAAGAAACGGAAGAACAGCTTCAGGGCTAACAGCACATTTTGGCTTCTGTAAGAAACTTGCTTGCTTGCTTGGGGCGGGAAGAACCGGGTTCCTGATTGGCTGATTCAAAATTAAACAGCTCCCTCCCGCCTTGGGGACTTCCTGCCCTGTGAAGGGTATAAAAGCCTCGCCCGGCTGTTAGTCGGGGTCTCACTCACTTCTCTCCGAGTGGGACCCTGTCCGGACAGTTTGTGTAAGCTTCTATACTTGTACTTGTATAAATCCTTTGCTAATCTTTCTGCTTGGTGTTGGTGATTCTCGGGTGTCCTTGGTTGGGACACGGGTCGCATTTACCGGGGAACTTGACTCCAGGCGTGTGGGTCCCGGACCGTAACAACACAGCCTCACTTCCTGCCCCAGATCACTTCCCCATTTTTTAAAAAAATTTATTTATTTATTTATTTATGGCTGTGTTGGGTCTTCGTTTCTGTGCGAGGGCTTTCTCTAGTTGTGGCAAGCGGGGGCCGCTCTTCATCGCGGTGCGTGGGCCTCTCACTGTCGCGGCCTCTCTTGTTGCCGAGCACAGGCTCCAGACGCGCAGGCTCAGTAGCTGTGGCTCACGGGCCTAGTTGCTCCGTGGCATGTGGGATCCTCCCAGACCAGGGCTGGAACCCGTGTCCCCTGCATTAGCAGGCAGATTCTCAACCACTGCACCACCAGGGAAGCCCCACTTCCCCATTTTTACACATACACCTAACACTTCATTGAATAACTAACTTAGCGGATGTGATCCAAATACACCTTTGTTATTTGTCTTTGCCTTTGTTATTTGTCTTTCACTATCTCTTTAAAATTTACTGAGGTAGAGGAATCTCATTCGGATTCTAGAGAGAAATTCTGGCAGATCCATAACTTTTCTGCTTGCTCTTAGTTAAAAACTAGTCCTCAATTCAGAAATTAAAATGTCCATTCTCACACGTGAACCCAAACTCTAAACTTGAGTTACAATCATATCTTCTCTGCTCCATCTGGGACCTGCTTCCCATCCTGCCTTTCTGCTCTTTATTCCCCACCCCACCTGGTAGGCAGTTTCTAAGCCCTCCTGGGCATATGCTTTGAGAGGGGTATGTGAGAAGAGAGGATACGTTAGTACATGTGCAGTACTACATGCCTTCTCAGGTTGGTAGAGACTAGGTCTTTTCCATAGGCCACTCTGTGGGACCTTCAGAGGTCACCCCCAACTGTGACCCCCATGAGGTGCTCATGTGCTGCCCTCAAACATCACGCAGTTTCTGTTGCCATTGATTCTTGTCGTGGGGGATTTCTCATGCTCAGACAGATACCCCTGAAGCAGGACTCGGAATGGTTCCAGAATCTCTCCCTCTCTCTTTTACAAGCCTATCTCTGGTACAAAGGAATCCCTCTGACTCCCTTGTTTCCAGGAAAAATCTGGGATGGCAGGTAGATCCCAACATGGCCACCTCCACTCTGCTGCCACAGGTAACTCAAGCTTTTTCAGGCATACGTCAGGCACCAGCCCTTCGTGTCTTCCAACTACAGGGATTACATTTCAGGCTCCTCAGTATGGTCCCAGGCTTGAGGGAAGGAGGTCACAGTTGCCCCAAGCTGCTCACAAGCACAAGATCTCTCTCCAAAAACACCCTCACCAATCCCTCTCCTTCTACTCTCTAATTTTTTTAATACCCTTAATCTAAACGAGGAGTACAAGATCCAAGGAACTTGTTTGTAACCATTGCCTGCATATATTCTGCACGAGTGAATCTGGCTTTGAAATTTACCATCTATTACAGCTGATGTTTCAATCTTGACATTTCAATATGAACACACATGCACATAACTTTGTTTTGTAGCTTTTGGGTTTTTTTATAATAACAATGTAATCTTTTTATACCTGTTTTGCAACTTCCATTTTTTTCAGCTAAACTTGTATCTTGCAGACTCTTATCAGTAAGTATATGTGGTTTCAGTTATTTATTACCCTCTTGGTTATTAGACACAATCAGGTGGCCCAAACTCTACTCTGGCAGCAAGCAAAGATAAACAAACTTTTCCAGTAGGGCAAATTTCACTCCTAGACCTGTTTAGCCTGGTGGACAGAAGTTCTTTTGGGTTTTTCTCTTTTGTTTGGACGTTGAGTTTTGTTTCTTTGTTTTCTTAATGACAACTGAGTGATTTTTGCTCAAAAAAAACACCAAACCCAAAATAATAAATAATAAAGGCAACACGGAACCAATTGCCACAGATTTGTGTTATCTTCCTTGAGTCAGTTGTAGAGTTTATGACTTCCCATACAGCTTGCACTCTCGCTCCTCATTCTGTTTTTCTCCCCATAAAATCACTTTTCTGGCCAACGTGAGGTCTTTTAAGGGCAGAAACGCAATTAGCTTTGTATTTTCCTCCAACCCGCACCAAGATCTAGACAAGCACAATCCTTCCAAAAAAAAAAAAAAAGCATGAGCCAGTTCAATCGTCCTTGCCGCTTTTTTGCACCTCCCACCGCTAGAGGGCAATGAAACACCAGATGGCGCATTGGCAGTCAATGAAGGCCGCTCCCGACGCGCACGTCTTTACGTGGACGTTGGGGGAGGAGCTGTTCCGTGCGCGGTGACTGGCGGCGGCACTTGCGGCAGCTGGAGCCGTAATAGTGCGGGTCACAGGCTAGGAGAACTTCAGAGGCGGCGGTGGCACCAGTGACGACGAGGACAGCAGTAGCAGGCCCTGGGCTTGTCGTTCACCATGCCGACCGTAGAGGAGCTTTACCGCAACTATGGCATTTTAGCCGATGCCACGGAGCAAGTGGGCCAAGTGAGTTCCCTAGCGGCCTGCGGGGCCCGGCGCTCTGCGGCCTTTCGAAAGCGCTCCCCGGGCCGGCGGGGTCTACTGCTTCGCCCTCCCGCGGGCTCCCAGCCGCCCCGGCTGTTTCGTCGGGGTGGGCCCCTCGCCGGGAGTGCAGACTCGGGCTTCACCAGGGAGAGCGCGGTCCCCGGGTTCCAGGCTTCTCTGTCTCCCTTGATTAGCCTTTTCTCACCGTGGCGTTTCCTAATCCAGCCTCTTCAGCACCCCCGTCCCCGCCCCGTTCAGTCTCTTTCCAAGCCTTGTCCTCCAAATTCCACTGAAGTTTTTCTCCTTTTCGGTAGCGCTCAGTCCCTTGGAAGATTAGGTTGAGAGTCCTCGAGAGGTCAAAAATGTCTTTCTCGAGGCAAAAATCTGCAATTAATTTACGAAGAGAATTTGGGAGACAGAAGTTTGTGAAATACAGAAAGGCCCTTTCGTCCAGACTTTAACGAGGGCTTATGATTTCATTATTCAGTACATTTTTTGAGCGCCTGTCATGGACCAGGCTCTGCGCCGGGCGCTGGAGGTACGAGACAGAAAAACACATGCGCTCCCAGAAAGCACCTTTAGTGAGGGAGACTAGTGATCAATAAGAAAGAGAGATGCTTCCCCCCCTTCCCCCAATGAAGAGTGTCGTTAAGAAAATATAACAAGGCCGCAGAGGGTTGAGGGAGAGTGCAGTTTTAAATAGAGTTGTCTGGCAAGTGTTGAATTGGCTGTACGAGCCATTGCTTCTTTGTGAGTTTTCAAGTACTGGAGTCCTTTGAAGTTGAGGAGTTGACAAGTGGTTGTGTGTTTTCTTGGGAAAAGAACCAGGCTCTCTCCGCGGTAATCTTGACCATTGTTGTTGGAAATCCCATGCTGTATCTTTTCAGAGCCTAGAACATCATGTGATTCTTCTGCTTACCCATCTCTTGGAGTAGTGAGTGGCAGATCCTAGAGTCTGATAGCATGAGCAAAGCTGTGGCTTTACCTCTCCCATCCCCTTTTCCAGACATTCAGGTAGAACCTTTCTGAGCCGAACAAAAAAACATTTTGATGTTGGGACCTTACTTTAGCTTAATCTATAATTGTGAATATACCGTTTTCAGGTATCAGTTGGTTTCCCTTCCCTGCACGTTTTCATTTCAGTAGGAAATTTTGACATCATCAATGAGAGATATATACTGACAGTCTGTTGTAGATGTATGTAGGGTGTGTGTGTTAAGTTGGCTGTGAAGGAGACATTTTCTGCCGATTAAGGCAAGGTGGGAAAAACTTATGGTCACTCAGTTTGAGTTTGTTGTCCTTGTTCCTATAGAGAACTAGTAGTGAAGATAGTTTCATTCATTATGACTGAGTTGGGGGAGATTGTAGCCAATTGTTCTCCCTAAAATTGACTTTGTTGCACATCAGCAGAGGGGATGGAATAAAAGGTACAACAGTGATTCTCAAGTCAGTTTGTATATGGTGCTCTCCCAAAGAGGTGATTCAGGAATCTTCTAGGGAAACTTTGAAACTGTATGCAGAGTGCTGTCCCATAACCCCACCCTCATTTTTTGCTGGAGTAGGATAAAGGTTGACAGCCACCTACTTACAGTATGTTAGAGCAAATAGAAGCCAAATGGGAGTTTTTATATTCTATGAATAATGGAGAGTTGCTGTCATTTCCCTCTTATGTTGTCTTTAATTATAAATACCGGTTTAGATTGAGAGTTCTCTCTCAAGAGGTCAGTAGTGTTTCTCAAGGCAAAAATCTGCTTTTAATTTAGGAAGAGTGCTTGGGAGACAGAATTTTGTGAAAAACAGGAGGGACTCTTTTATGCAGACTTTCATGAGGAACCACAATTTCATTTATTCAGTATATTTTCTTGAGTGCCTACCATGTACTGGGCCGTAAAATTTTAGCACGGTTCCCTTAGGTGATGGGAGATCAGTACCTTCATGACACTGTAATGACAACTGTCAAGCAACTAAATAAGGGGAAAAAAATCTTTGGGTGATGAAAGGTTGTGATTTGCTCAGCCTCAAACAGTGAATTCTGGGAGAACTGAAGCTAGATTAAACCGTAATGCCAACTAATTCTGCTCTATTGTGTAATACTTCTTTCCTTTTAGAGAAAATTCCTAAAACTGCTCACCCAAAAAGGTGTATTGAGCTTCAAGATACTGCATGTGAATTTAATTAACAAAAGCAAGAGCCAACTTAACGGAAGGGACACCATTCACGTTTTTTTAAGGAGAGAAAAAAATATTTACATTCATAATGTAGCACAGCCAGATTTTCATATCACCTTGTAAGATTTACAGTCAAGACTTTAAATTTCCTGGCGGGTACCTATCTGGACACTTCTGAAACCATATTTGAGTTTCTTAGTCTAGAACTTACTTCTAACTTTATTTTGATTTTCACCCTTTTTAAAAGAGGTGAGTACCGCAGTTGCTGCTCACAGAGCCACCACTGAGGGGAGTGCCCTCTCTGCTACTGTCAGTACTCCTTTTATTTTATTTTATTTTATTTTATTTTTTTAATTAGGAATATTCTGCTTGCTTTTTTATATAACCTATTGAAGAACATTTTTTTTACATCTTTATTGGAGTATAATTGCTTTACAATGGTGTGTTAGTTTCTGCTTTATAACAGAGTGAATCAGTTATACATATGTTCCCATATCTGTTTCCTCTTGCGTCTCCCTCTCTCCCACCCTCCCTATCCCACCCCTCCAGGCGAGCTGATCTCCCTGTGCTTTGCGGCTGCTTCCCACTAGCTATCTACCTTACGTTTGGTAGTGTATATATGTCCATGCCTCTCTCTCACTTTGTCACGGCTTACCCTTCGCCCTCCCCATATCCTCAAGTCCATTCTCTAGTAGGTCTGTGTCTTTATTCCTGTCTTACCCCTAGGTTCTTCATGACATTTTTTTTTCTTAAATTCCATATATATGTGTTAGCATACGGTATTTGTCTTTCTCTTTCTGACTTACTTCACTCTGTATGACAGACTCTTGGTCTATCCACCTCATTACAAATAGCTCAATTTCGTTTCTTTTTATGGCTGAGTAATATTCCACTGTATATATGTGCCACATCTTCTTCATCCATTCATCTGTTGATGGACACATAGGTTCCTTCCATGTGCTGGCTATTGTAAATAGAGCTGCAATGAACATTTTGGTACATGACTCTTTTTGAATTATGGTTTTCTCAGGGTATATGCCCAGTAGTGGGATTGCTGGGTCGTATAGTAGTTCTGTTTGTAGTTTTTTAAGGAACCTCCATACTGTTCTCCATAGTGGCTGTATCAATTTACATTCCCACCAACAGTGCAAGAGTGTTCCCTTTTCTTCACACCCTCTCCAGCATTTATTGTTCGTAGATTTTTTGATGATGGCCATTCTGACTGGTGTGACAGGATATCTCTTTGTAGTTTTGATTTGCATTTCTCTAATGATTAGTGATGTTGAGCATTCTTTCATGTGTTTGTTGGCAATCTGTATATCTTCTTTGGAGAAATGTCTATTTAGGTCTTCTGCCCATTTTTGGATTGGGTTTTTTGTTTTTTTGATGTTGAGCTGCATGACCTGCTTGTAAATTTTGTAGATTAATCCTTTGTCAGTTGCTTCCTTTGCAAATATTTTCTCCCATTCTGAGGGTTGTCTTTTCGTCTTGTTTATGTTTTCCTTTGCTGTGCAAAAGCTTTTAAGTTTCAATAGGTCCCATTTGTTTATTTTTGTTTTTATTTCTATTTCTCTAGGAGGTGGGTCAAAGAAGATCTTGCTGCGACTTATGTCATAGAGTGTTCTGCATATGTTTTCCTCTAAGAGTTTGATAGTGTCTGGCCTTACATTTAGGTCTTTAATCCATTTTGAGTTTATTTTTGAGTATGGTGTTAGGAAATGTTCTAATTTCATACTTTTACACGTAGCTGTCCAGTTTTCCCAGCACCACTTATTGAAGAGGCTGTCTTTTCTCCACTGGATATTCTTGCCTCCTTTATCAAAGATAAAGCGAGCATATGTGCGTGGGTTTATCTCTGGGCTTTCTATCCTGTTCCATTGATCTATATTTCTGTTTTTGTGCCAGTACCATACTGTCTTGATTACTGTAGCTTTGTAGTATAGTCTGAAGTCTGGGAGCCTGATTCCTCCAGCTCTGTTTTTCTTTCTCAAGATCGCTTTGGCTATTCGGGGTCTTTGTGTTTCCATACAAATTCTGAGATTTTTTGTTCTAGTTCTGTGAAAAATGCCAGTGGTAGTTTGATACGGATTGCATTGAATCTGTAGATTGCTTTTGATAGTAGAGTCCTTTTCACAATGTTGATTCTTCCAATCCAAGAACATGGTATATCTCTCCATCTGTTTGTATCATCTTTAATTTCTTTCATCAATGTCTTATAATTTTCTGCATACAGGTCTTTTGTCTCCTTAAATAGGTTTATTCCTAGGTATTTTATTCTTTTTGTTGCAGTAGTAAATGGGAGTGTTTTCTTAATTTCACCTTCAGATTTTTCATCATTAGTGTATAGGAATGCAAGAGATTTCTGTGCATTAATTTTGTATTCTGCATCTTTACCAAATTCATTGATTAGATCTAGTAGTTTTCTGGTAGCATCTTTAGGATTCTCTAATGTATAGTATCATGTCATCTGCAAACAGTGACAGCTTTACTTCTTTTCCGATTTGGATTCTTTTCATTTCGTTTTCTTCTCTGACTTCTGTGGCTAAAACTTCCAAAACTATGTTGAATAATAGTGGTGAGAGAGGGCAACCTTGTCTTGTTCCTAATCTTAGTGGAGATGGTTTCAGTTTTTCACCATTGAGGACGATGTTGGCTGTGGGTTTGTCATATATGGCCTTTATTATGTTGAGGTAAGTTCCCTCTATGCCTACTTTCTTGAGGGTTTTTATCATAAATGGGTGTTGAATTTTGTCGAAAGATTTCTCTGCATCTATTGAGTTGATCATATGATTTTTCTCCTTCAGTTTTTTAATA